CGTGATTCTTCGTCATTCGTCCTTACCCCGCGCGCCTTGTTACCCAACTGACGCGTATCACTGGCTTACGAGTTGTGCGATCATTACGCACGCGCCATTCTTCTCAGGTTCGAACCCTTTTTCTCGATCCCGCGGCCTGTCCCGTCTGATCACGCGCCGTCTTCCTTAGTCAAAGGGTGTCGCGACCTCGAGCTCAGAAGAGTCGATGACCACATCCTCATCATTCTCACCCTCTTTGAGAATTTCCTTGTCCTCAAGGATGATGAACTCGAGGCTTTTATATTCGATTTTCTTGGCCCTCGTGCCACTAGTTTGTAATTTGATTCATTTCTTAGCCAGCTCAAATTCCATGGCTCTTCTCTTGCAGTCGGTAGTCACGGGTCCTAACGTTTCCAGCCACTACACTCCTAACACCACACTGGGCCCAGACAATGGTAGCGCATAAAGGTCGATCTTCAAGTCTTCACCTTTCACGTGCGTGGGTACCTTTTTAAACAACATGGAACTCCTCAATTCTTCTCCATTCGCAACCCATACTCCAATTAGCACGACACCTGTAACGCCCCATTATTTCCATAATAATTAGGTTGTATTTAGCTTCCTAGTGTAAGCTAATTATATTAACAAATGTTCGAGATTAGTTTCCAAGAGTAAACTGTGCAGTTAAAAGTTACAAGATCAAGTTTAGAACGATAAATATTCGATTTAGATTAAAATCAAAGCCGAATATATTAGCCAAAGTCTCGATTTATTTTCTATCATGAATTGAGAATAAATAGTATTAGTCGAGAAAAAAATTGAATCCAAGTGTACTCGAATTATTATAAAGAATCGAGTCTTAAACCTAAGCTAAGATAAGGTCGACTCGAATATTGACCCGAGCTACACCACACGTCCCAACATTCACGCGCAACTTAGTACAATTGCGCCCAACAACCGTGTGTAGCTCAAGTGTGCTAGTATTTCATGCACTCGGCCAAAGTCATGGACAAGCACCCATTAAGTAACCGAGTGTGATAGTACTTACTCGGCCCAAGCATTTCGCGCGCAACATCAGCCCAACATTTCCCAATGTCGCTTAGTGCACGGCCCAATGCGCATTCTGCATAGCAGTCCAGCGCTCAGTCGCATAGCAGTCCAGGGTGTAGCCCAGTGTAGCCAGTGTGCGACCCAGTGTGCATTCAAGCGCGCAACAGCTAGCGCAACCTAGTGCGCGGCCTGCCAGCGCAGATAGTACGCGTCTCAACGCCCGCCAGGGCCCAACCGAGCCTCAAAGGTTCTCTAATAATTTTCTTTGGTCAAGTGGAGCTTTGACCCGGTATTATCATCAGACAAGGTCTGATATACCTTACCATATCCTCACTTGGCACCAAACCCGAGAAGAAGAGCATGGGTGAGGAAAAATCCAACTTTGGATATTTTAAATCAAATAGATGGGGCCTTCTTTAGTTTTATATACTCCAAATCTGAAGAAAGGTAGGAGAGGAAGCAACACTTAGGAAAATTCATTCAAATTCAGAGAAAATACGGGTATAGCTTGGTAAGCCTTCCCGAGCTTTTAGTCGCGCGCATAGCTCCCATAACGGGTCATTAGCTATTACTTTTTGAGTTTACTTGAGTCATACATCACCTAGAAGAAATATACTACCTAAAGAGTACATCTAACAAGCCTTCATAGCTTTACACTCAACCGAGCAACCTTACTACCGAGGAGATTCCGTTAAAAGGCCTTGATCTTCACTTCTTTCATTTTCGAACATTGGCGAAGGTAAATACCTATCTAATCCTTTTTCCTTCTTAAGCATGATATATTAAAGTTTACCAAGTGTTGACGGACATTTCTGACCAACGGTTAATTAAGGTTATTGTAAGGATTTAAATAAGAAAACAAGATGGAAGGAAATAAAGCTTTATTTATTCTATAGCCAGCTCGACTTTCGACACCTATGGTCGAAACTTAGCTGTGATTTTGGGGAAATTCTTACAAACAAGTCTTTGTAGAGAGAGAGAATTTGTAGTTCTAGAATTAAAGGGGGGTTCAACTAACTATTAAAGGTGAAATAAATGAGCTATTTATACTACTCTCAGCTGGGCACCATTGGAGCACTGTTCATGCTGTCCATTATACAGTAGAAAGGAATGACAGGCAATGTCAGGGATTAAATGTAATCAGAGTGTTAGCCATGATGATCCCTGCAGCATTAAATGCCAGCATGGGTCGCATTAAATGCTGCCATGGCTAGGCCTAGGTCCTTGCTTCTTTAGAGCACCCACAATGCTTTGGGTTTCTTAGAAAAAAGTTACATGCCATGTAAGAAATAGACCTAGTCTATAAAAAAGTGTTCTCCAATGCAATTAAAAGTGGACTTAGTCTAGCTTATGTGGCAATAAAAAAATGAGACCTAGTCCACACATGGGTCTATTTTAGACCCAAGTACAAACCCAAGCACTCATCATTTATTCCTCATTTAATTTTTCTTTTAATAAATGAAATATACTAGAGCATTTTTATTGGTTGTCATGTATTCTAGACCTAGTACTTTTTGGTTTTGCATTGGATAGATTTTGGTTTTTTTAGTTTAGGTTTGTCCATGTCATTATGGACTTAAGTCTATTTATTTGCCACATATGCAAAAAGAGACCCAAAGCATTGTGGATGCTCTTAGGATAACCAGCTTGTACGAAATGTCCTATCTGCATGTCATCGCCCAATATCTATTATAGTCTCGCTGACCGGTCTTCACCTGCGACATCCTCCTATTCCACCTCATGGTCACCTGCAGTTCGGACCTTTGGTTGCTTGGTCCTCCCCTTCGTGGGACCCCTTATTGAGGTCGACACCTTTCCTACTCGGCATCTTGACTCGAGACATCGGGATGTCTACTCGTCCTTTAAGTCGTCCTTGTTGTGGCATTTCCTTTCGACGATTCGGTTCGAG